GTGGGTGCAAAGGACCCTGCTCTAAAGCCTAGCTTTCGAACTGGGAGTGTCGCTCAGTGGTAGAACACTTGCCTAGCAAGCACAAGGCCCTGCGCTCCAGCCTCACCACTACAAAAGAAAGTACAGTTCTCAAGCTGGGCAGGTATAGGGCAAATGAATGCAATAACCACAAAGGGAAGCTCACGAGTCTAGTTGTCCAAGACCTAGTCAGGTCCCTAGTGCCATAAGGGAAGGGATCAGGTGCATTGATTCACCTTCATGCCTGGGCACCTTTCCCAGGGTTGGTACACTGTACACACTCCGAAAGTACTTTTGGACTGGATGGGTGAAAGGGCCTGAGAACAGTTTTGTGGAAGGATGAGGTGAGGCTGGCTCTAACGCGATGTGTGATTGGGTGGAGAAAGCCCAGGAGCGGACACTGTGGCACCTTGGAGAGAGAGTGTGCAGTGGGCTCACAGGGCAGCGAGAGCAGACCAGAGAGAGGGCAGAGGAGCCGTGGTGAGGACTGTGCCAGGCCCCGAGTTCATGAATTCTCCTGGACCTGACCTTAGATGCTCAAGGAGAAGCTGAGAGCCATTTTAGTAGACTGTAGAAAAGCAAAGTAAAAGGTACAGTGGCCAGCGAGGGACACTAAAAGACACACAGCGGCACTATGGGATATGTGCCCTTAGGTGGTGTTCTGCTGAGCTGGGTCTTCCACAGAAGGAAGCCATTTGCCTGGCTGGAGACACCATGGCAGGGCAGGGGCAGCCCCTGGGTTCACCCTGCTGCAATAAAGGCGGCTATCTGATGAGCATTTGCAGCTTACAAAGTGCCTCTTCAAACACTAGTTTCTTTAAAGTCACAGGATCCCTGTGATACCCATATTGTCCCTTTCCCTACAGATGTGGAAGTGAGGCTCAGAGGGGTTAAGTGACTTCACTGGCTCAGGGTGTGTCTGGGGTGCTGGTCTGACCCTGCTTGTTGGACAGGCAGCGCGGGGGATTAGTAAAGGATCTGACAGACAAAATCAAGATCTCTCCTACTTTTTAAAAATGTTATCACAGCCCTAAGAAGGTGAAGACACAGCTGCTACACTGTAAACAAAGGTATTATTTTGGCATTATTCCTAATAGATATTTTTGCCATATAATGGTAGGGGGCCTTATGTTTCATTAAGAAAATAAGGATAAGGTACTGATAAAATGTCTTCAAGTCAGGGGAACAAAGTGCAAAATATCTCCGGGCTTCAGTCCAAACCAGGTTACTGTGCAGCTGAGACCATCTTCATCTTGCTTTCTTTCTCTATGAACTCAGCACTCTAATACTTGGAGGAGTTGCAAGGGAAAAGCACATACGTGCTCGCAGCTGCAGATCTTATGGTGCCTCGTGGTGCATCATGCTAGTTCTCTTACCTCTGCTGCCTCAGGGCTTTCTCTGAGGCTGGAGGAGGAGTGTCACACGGAAGAGGTGGCACATTCCAATATATCAGATTAACCTGAAAGCACTAAGGCTGGCAGGTGAAAACCTCCAAGGGCAGCCCTAACAATGGGGCCAGAACTCCTTGGCCATATGCTCCAGCCCCCTCCAGATGTTCCTCAAGGGTCCCAGTGTGCTGGAGGCCCAGCTGCCCAAGGTATAACTGCTTAGAATGCGTGATCACTTGGCTCTTCTTCCTTCCCTTACTTCCGAGGTCTGGCATCATCTTCCACATAAACTACCTGTATTCAAGTCTGGGGTTCAGGCTCTGCTAAAACATATACACATTTGCTCATAGAAAAGCTGGTTGGCTGCATCGGTCCTCTATGATCTTACAGGAGTGAGGCACGCACAAGTGTTGGGGAGGATGGGGTGGGCTTTGTGCAGGGGGACAGTCTCCTCCTTTTGGTTGTCAAGGGCAGATGCATTGGCTTTGCGGAGGAAGAACCATCAGAAGACCACACTAGGTGTGATGGACCATGTGAGCAAAAGCTGGGGGCTCAAAAAAAAGCTGGAAGGATAGGAAGGCTTCTAAGCAACCAGAGATAGGGTCTGGGGTTGGAGAGGTTGCTGAGGCTCAGCTGTAATAGGCCTTGAATACCCAGGTTTCTCCTTGCTTGGGATTTTGTTCTGGGGGTGACTTTCCTTTTGAATCATGCCGTGGAGGGAATTCCTTTGCCATACCAAACATTTTCCCAGTGAACTGCTACGCCCAAATTTGCTATGTGAAGGATCTTCTTTTTCCGCTCTGGTGTCTTCCTCCTGAGTTTGGAGTCTCCTTTCCTCTCAGCCTCAGTTTCCTTCGGAGGTTTGTATTGTGTCTCAGCCCATCCTGCCCTGACAGTTTTTTCACCGTGACCTTTCGGAGCTTTAGGGCAAGGGTTTGGCAAAACGTGCCTATACCTATCGTGTTTTCTTAAAGTAAGTAGTGAAGATTGGGCATGGGTTTGAGTGTGGGCAATAGCTCTCAGCATATCACAAGTGTCTGGTGATCAGCTGGTTCCAGCAGGAAGTTGAGTTTCTGCCTATTTTTGAGGTATGCCACCACCTGACAATTTTTCCTCTCTGTTCAGATCCCTCACCTCTGAACTGCCTCCACATTACATCTGATCCCTGGGCTTGCGCAGCTGCTGTGTTCTTGGGAAGCCCAGTGGTCCCTACTGCAGTCCACGAACTCTTTCAGTTTGGCAAAAGAGCTCAGCAGAGAATTCCTCCTGCCAACGTCACTTTGCAATACTTTTGCTTAATATTCATGTATATATTTGCATAGTATGTTTTAGATTGCAAAGCATTTAAACATACATCCACTTGCTTTCTCATTTTTGTAATAATCCTGTGAGGTAAGTAGGGCAGCCACTGTTTCTCTGGTATAAATAAAGATCTGGAGAAGTTGGGTGATTGCCTAGGGATTCAAGTCTGGTTATCAGAGGGGGAGTCGAGAACCCTGGATTTATTTTCTGCCAGAGCACACCACCAGGGGAGACAATAAGAAATATTAGGACCCACTCTTTGCCTGCAGAAGCTCAGAGTATACTTGGAGTGAGAGCAGATAAACAGGAATTAAACAGTGGCATTGAGTTCCAAGTGCCAGGTGGCTTCTGCACGTGTCTTATGGCCTGGATGGATGTACAGTGGTGAGATTGTTTGTGATGGAGAAGGCTAGGAAGAGAGTACAAAAGATGACAGAAATCTAACTCTTCAAAAACAAAGCAAAAACAGTGCAAAATGCACCACATTTATATGTGCAGTACCTTTTACAGCTTGAACAAGGCCATTCTGGCGAAGAAGGTACACACCAAAAAGAGATGATGACTAGCTATTACACCACATACACAGATCTATGTGTTATGGTTCATATGCGGATGTCTTCCCAAATCTGCATGCACTCAGGAGCCCGGCTTGTGGAGGTGATTGGATGACGGAGGCGCTGGTGTGGGGAGGGAGGGTCTGGTAGGAGGTTGGGCTGCTTGGAACATGACCTGGCAGGGTCTGTCTCCCATGCTGGCTCTCCCTTTGCTCTCTGCTTCCTGCCTGCCATGACCTGAGTGCCTTTCCCTGCTAATGCCCCTTTTCCATGCTGTTTCCTGTTGAAGCCGACCATGGACTGAAACTTCCAAGCCGTGAACCAAAGTAAACCTCCCTTCTTTTAAATTGTGGGTATTGAGTGTTGTGTCCCAGTGATGAGGAAAGTGACTAAGGCACAGAACATTTGGACAATTACTGAAATAAGCCAATATTGATCTGGTTTTAAGTATCAGGATGGACAACCACAGCTTTCTGCTATCCCTTCAGGAGTGCCAACACAGCAAAAGACTGGATTTTGGAGTCTTTTTGGAAACTGAAGTTTGAAAGCCCACTTTCTAGTGATGAAACTCACTAAGGCTTTCTGTGCTCTATTTTCCTTCTCTGCAATGTGAAGATAGTAATTCCAAACTCAAAAGGCGTTAGGAAGGTGGAGGGAATAATATAAGTGAAACAGAGTGACAGTGGGTGTTAGAACCCTGAATTCCTTTTCTGTTTGAGCATTTGGGGCCACGGTTGGTAGAAGTGTTGAGCGTGCTGAGCATGCCATGGATTTGGCCCATTCTTGTGTCCCTCTGTGCAGGGCTCTTGTTCTCATTGTGTCTCAGAGAGGCAGCACTGTGAGCATGCTTGAAAATAAAAAAGAAATCCACTGGTTTCAAAATATGAAAAGAAAACCAGAGAAAAGGCCAAACCCATGTACATTAGTTAAATGTCTGTGAAACATGTAGTCCACTGGCTATTGTTGCTTATCAAAAGCAAATAGCTGCTTTTGGTTGTCAGGTAGCCATGTAGAAGCTGTATTTCATGCGTGACATGGGTAAATTTGAACATTTCAATTGGCTGTGAGATGGGGAGTCTGTAAATAGGCGAGGCTCAGGCCTAAGAAGTTCCTGAAGCAGCTCTGCTCCTGTGGCCAGGGTACCATGGCACCCTTAGGAACGAGTCAGTGTTTGGAGTGGCAGATGAGGCAGGGCTCGAGGGGTACTTACTGGTCTCCCTGAATGATTTCTTTCCTTGAACCAATAGAAAATCAAGTAGCACAGGACAAATGCCTCTCAAAATACCTATCAGATTGCCATAAAAAATATCACAAACAACAGAAGAAAAGTCATTTGCACCATTCTGGAAGCTAGGACATGCAAGATCAAGGCTCTGGCATATTCAAGACCAGGTGAAAGCCCACATAACCTATGCTTTCCCCGTGTCCTCCCATGGCAGAGGGGCAATAGGTCTTTCTGAGGCCTCTTTTACAAGAACACTCACTAGTCCTATTCATGAGGGCAGCAGCCGATGACCTAATTTTCCTCCCAAGGCCCCCACCTTCTAATACCATCATCTGATAGGTTGGCTATCAACACATGCATTTTAGAAGGACACAAACATTCAAACCCTAGCAGGGAGCCTGGTAGAGACTGAGGAACGGATTAGGTGCAGGGGTCCATGGACCCTTCCTTGTTAGGGTGGATAGTCCCTGGCTTCTCAACAGTAAGGCCATTAACAATTTAAATTTGACCCACCTTTGATATTTTAGTAGAATTCACTGATCACTTCTCAGTGATTCTTCTCAGAGCACTAGAAAAAGAAAATAATTCATAGTAGTATCCTGGCAACACGATAGGACATTTGCTTTATGACCAAACAATCTCATTAAGTGCAGGCGTTGAGCCTATCATCTCCTTTGTTGAGTTATGGCCCCATGCTCCTCCTGGGAAAGGTGCATCCCATTGGATGGAGATTTGGAGGGTGCTGGGTGGGAGTGAGGAGAGCAGAATCAGCCTTTAGTATACAAAGAAGAGGAATCACCTCTGTCAGGAGCTTGGAGTCCCCTGAAGTGGTTCTGACATCCAGCAGTAAAATCACAGGTCATTTTAAGGAACTCAGAGTGACCAGATAGAATCCTTACTGTGTGCCAAGAGGACTTAGTAGCTAGGGAAATTGGCAAGTGTGTGCGTACCTTGGTGCTTGTGGCTAAGGAGGAGGATGATTTGTTCCTTTGAAGACTTCAGTTTGTACCAGGAACCACCTGGGCTTGTTCTATAAGGAACTCCCTTAGGCATTTATTATGCTCCATTCTTGGAAACAATAAGATTTACATCCATTGTTTTTTCAGGAAGTTACTGAGCAAAGTGAGGAACACCCTTCTAGGAGGGGGCCAAGGCAGACACCTCTGTGAGTTTCTGAAAGACTACTGAACCTGAAACAGCCTGGGAAAGTGAGACCTGCGGAGAGGTGACCAGGATGTGCAAACTAGCGGGAGGGAGCACCTGAGCTAACGGCTGGGCTAGAGAGCGGCCAAGAACAAGTTTACCTGGTGCATTGAACAGGTGTCATCTCTGACATACATCACTAAGCATGAAGCCGACACAAAGGCGATTTCCTCCTTCTCATGGTGTTGCTATTTGCACTTGACAGCAGGGTGTTCTGAGGCGGGCAGAGTGAGAAGAAGGATGTGGCCGTGATCTGGATCACTGGGGCTCAGGCCCCGGCGACCTTCACCGTGAGCACAGCCTGTGCACGTCTGGGCTCCGAAGGACCATCTCCTGGTATCCTTCTCACAGAGGCAGAACATGCAGGGCTTCTCCAGGGAAAGGCCCTGGAAACTGGGACTCCCTAACGGTTCTCCAATTCTCTTTCTTCTAGTTGCCTATCACTTTAAACACATGATGAAAACCCAATTTTTGTCTACATAGGCAATAGAAGTATCGGATGCTAACCAAGCTTACTTTGCAAAAGAGTTCACACTCAGGTTACTTTAAAAATCAAGCTCCCTCCGTGAATTTTTCAATATTTAAAGTTATCAGGTACTGTGTATATTGATCGAAGAAGGGGATATATGAAACTGACTCTTTAATAGACTGCTGAGGCTTTTAAGTGTATATTTACAGAAAGAATAATACACTTTTTGGGGGTTCAGTTCTGAGTTTTAAGAATTATATAAACTCATGTAATCCCAACGGTAATCAAGCCATAGAATAATTTCATCACCCACTCAGAACTGTCTGATGCTACTACAACTTCTCCTTCTATCCCGAGCCCCGGACAAATATTCTTCTCTTTTCCAGAATGTCATATGCATTGTAGGCTACTGTCTATTGTATAAATATACTACATATTGTATGCATATACCACACAATGTATGAATATGCTTAATTATCCAAGGGACACTTAGAGTGTTTCTATTTTGGGGTGATAATGAATAAAGCTGAACTAATCATCTATGTAAAAATTTTTGTGTCAATGTAAGTTCTCATTTCCCTGGGATAAAAGCCTTGGGGTGAGGTTTTTGGGTTGTATGGTAAATATATATGTAACTTTATAAGAAAATTGCCAAAGAATTTTCTGGAATGACTGTTTCTTATTGTATTCCCACCAACAAATGTGTGAGAATTTTAGTTTCTTGGCATATACTTTGAAGAAAGAAAACAAGATTATTGTTTTTATCCTTTTGTTTTCAGTACTGGGGATTGAACTCAGAGCCTTTGCACTGAGTTATATCCTCAGTTGCTTTTTTATTTTGAGGCAGGGTCTTGCTAAACGATAAGTTGTCAAGGCTGAGCTTGCTCTTTTGACTCACCTGCCTCAGGTTCCCAGGGTGCTGAGGTGAGAAGTGTGTACCACCACATGTGGCTCCCATTTTTAAGATATTTCTGTTGCTCCCTGTCTTTCTTTATTCTGGAAATTCTTTTTCTCTGTGATGTAATTTCCCTTCACTCTGAAGAACTTTTTCAAGTGTTTCTTTTAAATCATCTCATTCTTAGTTTCCTTCTGCTGGAAGTCTCTATTTTGCCTTTATTATTAAGGATACTGAATGGAGATACTGTAGAAGTCTGGTGGCACTTTGTCTCTTCCAGCACATTAAAGACCTCTTCCATTTTCTTCTGGCTTCTATGTTATCTAACGGGAACTCTGCAGTCGGTTCAATTGATGTCTCACATCTATCAGTTTTCTTTCTCTATTTTCAAGATTTTTTCTTCACATTTGGTTTCATCAGTTTATTATTTGTTTTCATTGAGCTTCTCTTGCTTGGAATTCACTGAGTTTTTGTTTTTGTTTTTTGTTTTTTCCATTTGTAGCTGTCTCTTTTACAAAATTTGGAAATCTTCTAATCTTCTTTAAACGTTGTTTCTGTACAAATCTCTCTCTTCTTATTCTCTAACTTAATGATATAAATGTTAGAACTTTTAACATCATTCCACAAGTTCCTTAGGCTTGGTTTACTTGTTTTACAATCCGTTATCTCTCTCTTCTTCAGATTTGAAAATTGATATTGATCTATATTTAGGATCTCTCTTTTCTTTATTATTTTATTTGACATTAAGCTTGTCTAGTGAGTTATTTCAGTTTTTTCTTAGTTCTAAGCTTTCCAGTTATTTTTTAAAAGTAGTTTTCATTAATTAATTTTTAAAGTAATTTTTCATTAATACGTATTTGTCATACACATTGATTGTATTCAACACAGGAATTTTTTTACCTGTACATAATGTATCTTAATTCTTTTTTTCCACCCCCTTTTCCTCCCTTCAGTTCTTCTTCTCCTTCCCATTTACAAAAACTTTGTTTCTATTATTCTTTTCATTATTTTTTTCCTTTTCCTTTCCCCTCTTCCTTTGCTCCCCTTCCCATTTGAACATGTTCTTCCTACTTCCCAGTACCTATCCTCAGTTATGCTCCTTATTTATCCATTGTTTCTCACACAAAAGAAACAATGTGATAGTTAAACTTGTGTCTGACTTATTTCACTTAAGATTATGGGCTCGAGGTATATCCACTTTCCTACAAATGGCTCAAGTTTATCCTTTTTTATAGCAGAGTAGTACTCCATTGCATATAAATGCCACATATTCTATATGTATTTTGTTGATGGGCACATATGGGCTATTTCCAAGATTTAGCTATTATAAATTGTGCTGCTATAAACATGGGTGTGATGCTTGCTTTTAACTCTTTTGGGAAGATACCTAGAAGGGGAACAGCTGGGTCAAATGGAACCTCTAGTTTTAGTTTTTTGAGGAATCCCTATACTGATTTCCATATTAGTTTATGAGTTTGCACTCCTACCAACAATGGAGAAGGGTTCCTTTTTCCCCACATCCTGGCCAGCATTTGTTATTGGCTGATTTCTTGATGATAGCCACTCTTTGGCAGTGAGATGGAATCTCAGTGTTGTTTTAATTTTCATTTCTTGATTGACTTCTGATGTTGAGCAACTTTTTGTGTATTTATTTGCTTTTGTACAGCTTCATCTGAGAAATGTCTATACATTTCAGATACCCATTTTTGTATTAGGGCTTTAAATTTGGGGGGATCTGATTTTTTTGAGTTCTTTGTATATTCTAGATACTAGTCCTTTGTCTGATGAGTACCTGATAATTTTTTTATTCTGTGGGTTATGACTTCACTCTGCTGGTAGTTTCTTTTGCGGTGCAAAAGCTGCTTAAAATTTGATATGATCGCAGTTGTTGATTCTTTGTCATATTACTCGTGCAGTCAGGGTTTTGTTTATAAAATTTTTGCATACACCTATATCTTAAAGAATTTTACCTATTTTATTTTCTAGCAGATTCATTGTCTCTGTTTTTATTTTTAGATCTTTGATCCATTTCAATTTTAGTTTAGTGTATGGTGAGAGATATGGGTATAGATTCAGTTTTTAGGATGTAGACAGCCAGTTTCCCCAGCACCATTTATTAAAGAAGCTATCTTTCTTCCAGTGCAGGTTTTCAGCCACTTTGTCAAAGATAAGGTAGCTGAGTATGTTTAGAGGTGTTTGTGCATCTTGCACTCTGTTCCATTTATCCTTGGGTCTGTTTTTTTCTAATACCATGCTGTTTTTATGATGGTAGCTTAGTAGTATAAATTCAAATCAGGAATTGTGATGCCCCCTGCCTTGCCATTGTTGCCCACAATTGCTTTTGCTATTATAGGTCTCTTCTGGTTCCATATGAATTTTAGGATTGCTTTCTCTAGTTCTGTGAGATATGCTATTGATATTGTGGTTAGGATTGCATTACTTTTGTATAACAGTTTTGGAAGTATGGCCATTTTTACTATCTTGCTTTTGCCTATTCAGGAACAGGGGATATCTTTCCATTTTCTGATATCCTCTTCAATCTCCTTTTTCAGAGTACTGTAGGTTTCAGTGTATAGGTCTTTCATTACTTTTGGTAGGTTTATTCCTAAGTATTTCATTTTTTTAAAATGCTATTGTAAAAGGTGTTGTTTCCCTAATTTCTCTCTCAGTGAGTTTGCTATTTGTATGCAGGAATGGTACTGATTCTTAAGTGTTGATTTGTGCTGCCAAATTAGGTTATTAATTTTAGGAGTCTTTTGATGGAGGTTTTAGGGTCTTCTATGTAGAGCATCACATCATCAGCATCACAATGATAATTTAAGTTCTTCCTTTCCTGTTCATACTCTTTTTTATTTCTTTCTCTTGTTCAATTTCTCTGGTTAAAATTTCCAGAACTATATTGAACCTGAGTGGTGATAGTGGGTGTCTTTGTCTTGTTCCTCATTTTAGAGTAAAAGCATTCAGCTTTTGACCATTTAGTATGATGTTCACTGTTGGTTTGTCATAGATGGCTTTTATCAGACTGAGATAAAGACCTTTTATTCTGTAGGGTTTTTATCATGAATGGGTGTTGGACTTTGTCAAAAGCTTTCTTGTATCTATTGAGATGATCATATGGTTATTGTCCTTGACTCTGTTAATATGGCGTATTACTTTTATTGATTTGCATAAGTTGAACCATCCCTGCATCCCTGGGATGAATCCTACTTGGTCATGGTATATAATCTTCTTGATGGTTTGCTGCATTCTATTTGCTAGTATCTCACTGAGGATTTTTGCACCTATGTTTATTAAGGGGATTGGACCATAGTTCTCTTTTTTGGTTGGTTCCTTCTCTGGTTTTGGTATAAGGGTAATGCTTGCTTCCAGGAATGGATTTGGGAATATTGCTTATCTTTCATTAAAGAGTTTGAAGAGTAGTAGCATTAGATTTTCTCTAAAGTTCTTGTAAATTCAGCAGAGAATCCATCAGGACCTGGACTTTTCTTTGTGGGTAGTTTTTTAAATTAATTCTTCAATTTCATTGACTGACATTGGGTTATTTACAGTATTTATGTCTTCTTGATTCAGCTTTGGTAATTCATATGTATCTAGGAATATGTCAGTTTCTTCTGAGTTTTCTATCTTATTGGGGTACAGTTTCTCAAAGTAGGTACTCATCTAGATTTCTGCAGGATCCAATGTGATGTCACCCTTTTCATTCCTAATTGCATGGATTTGGATCTTTTCTTTCCTTTATTTTGTTAAGTTTGGCTAAGTGTTTGTCTATTTTGTTTAATCTTTCAAAGAACCAACCCTTTAATTCATTGATCCTTTGAATTGTTTTCTTAGTCTCAACTGCATTAATCTCTTCTCTGATCTTTATAATTTCTGCCCTTGTACATCGGTTTAACTTGCTCTTTGGCCTGACCATGGCTCCCTGACCCTGGATGTCTCCTGCAGTTGTCCCTTACCCAGTCACTGTGGAATCTGAACACTGGGAGCCCTGAGATGAAGCCAACTCATGGCTGCTCTAAGTCTCAGGTTCAGTTGGCCCCTTGCTAAAATGGCATTGGACCGAGCACCCTCTCCAGGGGACACAGCAGTCACTTGGACTGCAGTCACTCACCAGGTGTAGTGCACAGCATCCACTGCTCTGTTCCACTGGAGCATTTCTCCCTGGAGTCCTCTTGAGTCACCCACACTCACTGTGACTCTGTAGATTCGATCCTCCTCTCTCATGTCCTGATCTGGGAGCTGGGTAGAAAGTGCAGATTGCCCCCTCCTTTTTTGTGTTGACCTCTATCTCTTCATTCTCTCTGTGGGATCTAGTTTTCCCTGCAGATCCTTCCCAGGTCCCAGAGATCCACCTCCTTGCATTTTTTTCTTCTCTAAATTGTTATGTTCCAGCGTGTAGATTCCAAATCTTGTTTCTGCTTACTGCTTTGCCATCTTCCCAGAAGTTAACAAAATAGTTTCTGTCTACTAATTAGAGAGTCTTTCTTTATATTACTGGAAAAAGTGTATACCTATGATGGTTAATCTTGATGGTCAACTTAATTGGGCTGAGAAATACCTAGGAAATAAGTAAAGCACACTTCTGGATATGTCTGGATAGGTCATGGAGGTGTGACCTCGGGAACTCTATCTAGTCATTGGCCGTTTTTTTTTTTTTTCCAGCTGTCTTTACAATCCTCTCTGTTTCACTGCTTCCATGAGAGTACAACTCTCCTCCACCAGGCCAGTCTGCCATGATGTTTCTGTTTTGGATCCAGCTGACCGTGAACTGAAACATTTGGAACCCTAACCAAAGTAAACCTTTCTCCTTTCAGTTTTGTGTACCAGAAGTTTTGTCTTAGTAACGAAAACCTGACCAAAATACTGCCTATATTTCATACAATATATTTATCCTACTGCTTTAAAGTTTTTTTTCTGATCATTCCAGCACCTGAGCCATCTCCAAATTGTCATCTTTTGATTGTCTTTTCTTGAGAATTGCTAATATTTTCACCATGTTATTAAGATGTTGAGTAATTCTAGATGATATCTTGAACACTTCCAATACTATGTTGTGAGGTTTTCAGTCCCATTAAAATCATCTTGCAAATGTTTTTTGTGTTATCAGGCAGTCAGTCTGATGATGTTTAGTCTTCAAAATCTGTTCACCCTCTATGGGTGGGGATCCAACGTCCAGTTACATTTTCAGAGTTTAGAAGATGTGAGCTCTGTTCCCATGCATTTAGTCTTGACAAAGTTATAGTTTACATTACAGCTCAGTTCTCAAAGCCTTTGCAATGCTTCTTTAGGTCTACTCCATGGGTATGAATTTCAGTGGTGAACCTAGGGTTTAAGATGGCTCATGAATGGAATTGTACCTGCTTCTCCCCCTCTTTTCTATAAAATCACCTTCACTGTTTTGATCCCCTGGGTTTCTCTTCCTGGTTCCTTGACTCGGGTTTCTTTAAGAATGTTAGCTCCTCTCCTCTATGTGATGTCACACAGTTCTGTGTGACTGATCTGGGGGCACAGTGGTGGGAGAAAAGACTGAGAAAGAGTTGGGAATTGTCTTCTCTCTTAGGATGACAGGAGCCTCTTCCTCATGTTTTATGTGTCCCTGCCACTTTTGTCACTGTGATGATGGTGGAGCTCTGTGATAGGGGCTGGCATGGGGGAAGGGTTGAAGAGAAGAATGGGCAGGCATAGGGATTTCTCTCACACTTTTTTTGGCACAGAGAGTCGTTTTCCAATTCCTCTGGTCTGAAATAGATTTCTCTTGGTGTTCGTGCTAACTGCACCCTCTGTGACGTTTTACCACCTTGGTTTCTCCTCAGGTCACAGCTGTGAGATAAAAAAGACATTTCCCCTCAAACCCCTAAGAAATTCATAGTCATTGTGGTCATTCTTTAAGCTTATCTTTCTTCCCCAGTTCACCTGGTATTATTTACTCTTCAGAAACCCTTGATGGTAGTTTTCATATTCTGTGGAATTGAGCCAGTTCTATTTGAACCAGCCCTGGAAGTCCCTCAGCTGCAAAATTAAAAAGTTAATGATGCTTGAAGGTCTTGTTTTTTGTCTGCTGTCCTGGCTTGGGAACCCTTAGAAGGATAGTAAATTCCCATATGGCAACATCTCCCTAGCTCTATATTTGCCTGAGTACCAGGGGACTCTGACACTGCTCCTTATTTTTGATAAAATCCAATTTGTTGATTCTTGGTACTATTTCTTATATTTTGGTTTTTTGCTGAGAAAGTCTTTGCCATACCTATGTCTGCAAGAGTTTTGCCTACTTTTGTCTTCTAGCAGGTTAAGTGTCTCTGTCTTCGTGTGTAGATCTTTGATCCATTTTGATTTTAGTTTAGTACATGGTAACATATATGGGTCTAGAGTCAATCTTGTGTATGTAGAAAGCCAATTTTCTCAGAACCATTTCTTAAAGAGGCGATCATTTCTCCAGGGTATGTTTGTCAAAGATCAAATAGCTGAATGTGCGTGGGGCCGTCTCTGCTTCCTCTGTTCTGCTCCACTGATCCATGTATTTGTTTTGGTGACAGTATCATGCTCTCTTGATCACTGTAGTTTTGTAATATAATTTTTTTGGGGGGATTTTTTTTTTCTGGTACCGGGAATCAAACTCATGGCCTTGTGTAATATAATTTCAAATCCAGCATTATAACGGCACCTGTTTGCTCTTTTTATCCAGGGTTGCTTTTGCTACTCTGGATCTCTTCTGGTGCCATATGCATTTTAGTTCTGTGAGGAACGTTACTGGTATTTTGCTTGGGATTGCATTAAATCTGTGTGTCGTTTGAGGGAGTATGGCCATTTTGACTATCATATCTTTCCACTTTATGATACTCTCTTCAATCTCCTTTTTTCAGAGTGCTGTGGATTTCATTGTAGAGGTCTTTCATTTTCTTGGTTAGGTTAATTCCTAAGTATTTATTTTTTCTTATGCCAATGGGAATGGTGTCATTTTTCTGATTTTTTCTCACTGAGTTCATTATTGGTGTGCAGAAACACTATTGATTTTTGTGTGTTGATTTTTTACATTGCTACATTGCTATATTTGGTTAGTCTAGGAGTCTTTTGGTGAAACTCCTTGAGTGTTCTGTGTGAGGATCATGTCATCTGCAAATGATAATTTGACTTCTTCCTTTCCTTTGACATATCACTTGTATTTCCTTCTTTTGCCTCATAGCTGTGCTGTTTCAAGTACTATGTTGAACAGGAGTAGTGATAGTGAACATCCTTGTCTTATTTCAGATTTCAGGGAAAATCTTTCAATTTTTCTCCTTTAATATGATGTTGGCCAAAGCTTTGTAATAAATGGCCTTTATCAGATTAAGATAAGGTCCTTCCATGACTCTTTTACTCAGGTTGTTTTTTTTATGAGTGGATTTTGTCCAATGCTTTTTCTGCATCCACTGAGATGATCTGGTAACTTTTATCCTTGCACTTTTATGTGATGTATTACACTATTGACTTGCATATGTTGAATGATCCTTGTACTCTGGAGTAAAGCCTACTTGGTCATGATGTGTGATATTTTTGACGGCTTGTTACATTCTGTTTGTCACCATTTTGCAGAGGATTTTTATATTTATGTTCATTAGTGAGATTGGCCTGTAGTTCTCTTTCAGTTGGGTTCTTGTTTAGTACATGTGGGATAAGAGTAATGTTAACTTCCACGAGTGACTTTGGGAGGACTTTTCCTTTTTGATTTCATTAAAATTTTTGAAAGTATATACATTAGATTTTCCTTGAGTTTTTTGTAGATTTCAGCAGTAACTCCATCAGGACCTGGGTTTTCTTGGTAGTTTTTTTTTTTTATTGCTACTTAAATTTCATTGCCTATTATTGGATTATTGAGGGTTTATATATCTCTTTGGTTCAGTTTTGATAATGCATATGTATCTAGGAATCTATTCATTTCTTCTAAATTCTCCAATTTGTTGGCATACAGTTTTGTGAAACAGTTGCTAATAATCTGGATTTCAGCAGTATCTGTTGTGATTTCACATTTTTCTTTCCCAGTTGCCTTGATTTGGGTCTTTTGCTTTCCTTTTTTTGTAAGATTGGCTAAGCATGTGTCTATTTTTTTATTCTTTTGAAGAACGAACTTTTCAGTTAGTTGATCTTTGTGTTATTTTTAGGGTCCACTTCATTGATCTCTGCTATGTTCTTTATAATATTCTTTCTTGTATTAGCTTTGGATTTTTTTTGGTGTTATTTATTTTGTTTTTTAAGACCCTGAAGGGTGCATTATTAGGTTATTTATTTGGTCTCATTTTATATTTGTCATGTGGGAATTTACAGCTATAAACTTCCCTCTTAGGACAGCTTTAATTGTATCCCATAAGTTCTGGTATGTTGTACTGTCCTTATAGTTTAATTCTAGGAACTGTTTTATTTTTTCCTTGATTTCTTCTGTGACCCATTGATTATTCAAGAGTGTACTGTTTAGTTTCCCTGCATTTGAATAATTTCTGTGTTTATTTTGCCATTGATTTCTAATTTTATTGTGTTACCATCTGATATTAATGCATGGTATAATTTTGATTCTCTGCATTTATTTAAGCATACTTTATTGGCTATGTGATTTATTTTGGAGAAAGTCCCATGTGCTACTAAGAGGGATGTATATTCTGTGGTTGTTGGGTGAAACACTCTATATATGTCTATGAAGTCATTTGTTGGAAGTTTTTGTTCACCTCTGATATTTATTTGTTGATTTCTTTGTCTAGTTGATTGGCTATTTATGACAGTGGTCATTAAAGTTCCCCTACTATAATTGTGTTTATGTTTATCTGATCCTTTATGTCCAGAAGTACTTGTTTTATGAAGTTGGTTGAACTGCTGTTTGGTGCATATATATTAATAGCTGTTATTGCTTCCTGTTGAATTGTTCCTTGAACCAATATGTAGTGACCTTCTTTACCTTTTCTAATCAATCTTGGCTGCAAATCCACTTAGTCAGAAAGTTGGGTAGCTATTCCTGCTTTTTGTCATGTTTCTGTTCCATGGAGTATTGTTTTCCAACCTTTGATTTTTAGTCTGTAAATTTCTTTTTGGCTTAAATATATCCATCTTCTCAGTTGCATTCCATTTGTGGTGAACTGAGACATGAAGATGTCCAGGACAGGCTAGTATTTTGGCATCATTTAAAATCCATGTTTTAAAAATGTGTTTTCAACATTGATTTAGGTGGGGCTGGGGATTTAGCTCAGCGGCAAAGCGACTGCCTGGCAAGCGTAAGGTCGTGAGTTCGGTTCCCGGTACCGGAGAAAAGCCAAAAAAACAACAACAACAACAAAAAAAACATTGATTTAGGGAAGTGCTTTATAATCACATGAAGGAAAACCAGAATTAGAGAAGAAAAATGGTGGGAGAGCCTCCAGCCACTTTGCCATCCATAGCCATTCAGCTCTTACCCATCCTGAACTTAAGGATAAATTATGGTTTGGAGACTTTGGTTAATTTTATGTGTCAAATTGACTGGGCTATGGGATGCACAGGTAGCTGATAACACATTTCTGGGTGTGTCTATGAGGGAGTTTCTGGGAGAGATTAGTATTTGAATTGGTGATCTGAGTAAAGCAGATTATCTGCCCCAATACGGATGGGTCTCATTCCACTCAGAGAGGCCCTGCGTAGAAGACAAAGTGGGGAAGCTTGAATTTTATGTCTTAAGCTAGGGCATCCATCTTCTCCTGTTCTTGGGGAGAATTACTCCTAATTCTCAAGTCTTTGCCTCCAGTTTGTAGACAGTTGAAAATGGGATTTCTCAGCTTTCATTATCCCTTATAATAAATCTCTTTCTCTATATTTACATACATCCTATTAGTTTTGTTTCTCTGGAGAACACTGGGTAATACTTATGTCTTTGTCAGCTTAGGCTGGGATAATACAGTGGCACAAATGAGGTAACCTAAGCCACAGAGATATATTGTTTACAATTCTGGAGATTGGGAAGTCCAAGATCAAGGTGCTGGCAGGTTTGGTTCCAGTGAGGGCTCTCACTTTCTAGCTTGTATACAGCAGCTTCTGTGAACCTTACATGGCAGGGAGAGTGAGAGAAGAGAAGAGAGAATATACTCTGGTCTCTCCTTTCCTTATAAGGACACTAATCCCACCATGGGACTTGTATGCTGTGACCGTGTCTGCTCTGAAATCAGGTGTCACCAGTGGGATGCTATTAACAGGTGCAGCCTCTAAGAGGCGATAAGGTCAGGAGCATCCCTTGTTTGTGCATGCAGTTAGGTGGCTTTATAACAGGTCTTGGTGGAGGGAGTTCACTCCTTTTTCTTTCTGCTTTTGTCAGGCAAGGACACAGTACCTCATTGCCCCAGCCTCATTCAAGATACCATCTTGGAAGTAGATACTGAACACTTACCAGACCACAAACCCACAGGCACTTAGATCTCAGACTTCTAGC